TTTTGGTCATCCAACATTTTTTTTACCAACACTTCAAAAAAAAATTCTCATAAAAATCGAAAATTTCAGTTGTCTATAATTAACTTAAAAAAAATTAAAATTTTTTGAAAATTAAACTGTATATTTATTAAACTAACATAAACATTTGGTGAAAATTTCAAGTATTTACAGTGATTAGTTTTTGAATTACAACCATATAAATAAATCGATTTGGTCGAAAACTGGTTTTACGTAAATATTCCCGTTTTTCTGTCATTTTTTGAAAATGTTTAATTTTGACCTTTATAATGCACCAAGGATATTCACTTTTCCCTTCGGAAACCACCCTCAAAGTTTGAAATTATAACATTATTTCGACTACTTATACACAGACACACACAAAAAAAAAAAAAAAATCATTGTAAAATCAATACATTCATCACTTCGTTCAGAATCTAAAATAATAAACTGCAATACCAAAGTGCTGTATGTTTCAGTATATTTATGAGAAGATTTTGCGAATTGAATATTTAAAAAAAGGTTTGTTTTCAATTTTCCAATCAACAACTTTAAATTGTAATTATTCTATTTTATTATTTTTAATATTCCTCTATAATCTACTATCTACATAGTACATGTTGATATATATATATGTATAATAATATGTAATATTTAGTCATTATTGTTATCCCTCAAAAAGTAAGTTATATTTATGCCTTATCTCAGATAACCGTAATAGTAAATAGTATGTATACAATTATGTAAAAAGGCTATTATTTGTATTGAGATAAATATGTAATTATAATGTAATTGTTAACGAGTGGTTTTTTTTTTTTTTGTTTAATTATGGACAGGTTAAAACTTTCCCCTCCTCAAAAACTGAAATGACGACATTATTTTCTGATAATCATTTTAACTTCTTTAATTTCTTTTTGTCTATGAAGTAGAAGTTATTTTTATTTTCATTATAAAACCATAACTCCTTTTTAGATTCATAGACACACATCAATAATGAATACCTATAATTATTAACGAAGTATTATATTATCTCTCAGAATACAGATCTGAAAGAGTTTTATGCACCTCAATGTTATATATAATACCGTTAAGCTTAAAAGATTCCTATAGATAAGGAAATATTTTGATGTAAGTATTGGTCAGAATAGATAAGATTAACAATAGATGCCTAAATTAAAATTCAAAATATTATGATCTACATCAATAATTTGTATGTATAAGTATATTATACTTTATTGTGTAATTATCAACGAGTTACATTTTAAACTTAACTAGATTCAGTCATAAATACAATACTATACGTCTATACACACATTTTACATCATAAGTGGGTCAAGCTCTACAGACTACAATAAACATAAGCATAAACATATTTAAAAAAATATTGGTTAGGGCATTTTGAACCTACACCAGAGTATAAAATAGAATGCAAAGTTTCCACTGTACGTATACGTTTAAAAAACATGTACAACACAATTTAACAGTGTTATTTGTCTTGTTCTTGAATTAATCGATAAAAAAATCTAGTCATCGGCCTTTGCGCTTTGCGGGCAGCTATAATCAATAGGTACCACCCGAGTTACTACTATATCATACATACAATGGTGTGTTATTATTGCGATCGTTCAAAATTTGACTATATAGGGTGTGAACGACGTGGGGGCGGCAGCAGAGGGCGCACGAGAAAACCGTATTGAACTATTGACTGAGCGCGCGAGACGCCGGTGTCACGATGCGCGCACGCGCACATAAATCGTGCGGCACAGCAACCGGCGGTGCAAAAGCGACAGCGACGGAGCGAACGAGAGGCGGACCACTACCACACAGACGACCGGCGACCGGCCACCGAATGCCGATAAAATAAAACAATTTACAAGCGCACACTCGGCGCAATACTCCGCGAACGACTGTCGGACGTACAACACCACTACAGTGCGCACACGTCAGTTACAATTTTATACGATTTTTATAACGATCTTAATCGCCAAGTACTGAACACTGTGAAAATCAAAAAAAAACATTTCGATCCGTTATTTTGTATTGCGTTTCGTGATCTTCGCTAATTACACTCACAGGTCTAAAACTCTAGTAATACGCCGTTCGGTTCGTCTTGCTGCAGGTGTTTACGGAACGACCGACAGACCTTTTTATAGATTTTCCTCACTGTCCTCGATGGACAACGTTTCGGTTTCGTCAGGGTCCTCGTCCGCTGACGGTGACGAACTGTCGGCTGTGCTCAACCGCCGGCAGAAGATCAACGAGGCGCTGGAGGACGGCAAACCGGTGCCGCCACAGTTCAACAGGCGGCCGTCCACTAAAAATGTGTATCTCGAGTTCAAGGAGTTCTCGCGCAAGCAGATCAATGAGTACGAGGCAACATTCAAAAAGTGAGTTGTCATTTCGTCTTATGATAATAATTTATTGGTGTCCGTGGTCGAGTACGAGTGTATGTGACAATGTCCACTACGCGTAGGTTTGATCTAGGGAATATAGGGATATAGGGAACGGATTTACTACTCACACGCATTTATTATTGCACAACCATGTTATTATATTTTCGTTACATAAATTAATATTTTGTAATGTCTCTGTTTGGGATGAGAGTGTGTTTCTCTCCCCTTCGTCTATACCTCTCACCAGTAAAAGGCTTTGGGCTTGTGGCGGTGGTTGATAATGATTAGTATGTGTATTTTTAGTATAGGCGTATCCGCTTCGCCTTTATTGACGCCCGCGAATGTTTACGATCGCAAAAGCCCACGATTATTATCTTCATTACGGACGAATATAAGTTATTAAATACGATAAATTTATCCACTGTCCGTTTGTATCTGGTACACCCTTTACATTGAATAGAGATAGTCATTATTAGTCATTATCTACGATATCCTTATCACCTTTACGATTACGATGGTGCGCCGCGCTGCCGTTGAACGTTTGAAAATAAATTTTGAACGGTTTTCCGGAACAGATGCGGAAAGCTGATTATCGTTAGACTCTTTTCTAAACTTGTAAACCAAAACCGACGATGTAGTATGATGTCTTATATTATATTCTTTTAACAATATGTTTTAGCGTGATTATTGTTATTATTCACGTGTTAACGCACTCAGTCACACATGATACAAACCAATGGTAATTATTTATATTTCGACAACACGAACGATGTATGTGCGATCATTACAAAATTATAATGAAATATTTACGTAGGAAGTTGTTACTGCAACAATATAATCATGTTTGAGTATGTATACTATTATATGGTACCTATTGTGGGCTATGGCTACATTATGTTAAGTTTTTTCGCAGTGCGTCCGAAAAGGTCATACGTATTTTATAGTTCACATTTAATATTTAAATACATTGTAATTTGAAAGTAAGTATGTATTAATAAAGATCCTATATAATATTGTAGGAAATCCGAAATAGTTGGTATAATAACAAAAAAAACTAAAAAGTAAACTATATTAAAGTTTATCAGTATTCATACGTTTTCAATAATTATCTATACAAAGTTTGTATTTTCGCGCGTATTTCTTTATGACTCATCCACCGTGTATAATAGTTGTTATAAATATTTTATTTACATTTTTATTTCCTCGAAATTATAAAATCATTAGGTATTTAAAACAATTTATATACGTTTGTTAATCATATTTCATGTGCAATTTTTATGTGTGCCTAATGTAAATTACATTTCCATAGCTGTTATCATGTATTATCTAACTAGTATAGCATAAAAGTGTTAATAAATCATAAATATAAGACATACCACTCGTTAGGTACGTTTAAAATTTACTTAGTGACGGTTTTTAACTAACTTTTTGAAAAATAAGTAAATTAAATACTTGTATGATATGTGTAAATATTTAATTCAATCGGCGTTAGTCGTTACACTGTATATTGAGGCAAATTAAAAGTAGGTAATAATATGAACGGGTTTTTTGAAAATTTGCGTATTTTAGGTTTAAAATAACATAATAGTCATGGTGTTAATAAATATAACCAACTATAGTATYGAATTTAACCGTTTGTATTTTACATCATTTTACTATTTTTCTTGATTACTATTCAATTACTTCTCATAATATTTGTTTGCGTGGAAAATAACGCGATACTTAAGTATTAATATTTGCACATTTTTAATATACAAACATTTTGTGTTTACTTTTTACGTTGTACACTTTTTATCATCGTTATACAACTTTTTAAAATTAATAACTTAAACACTTAAATTGATTATAATTTTGTTCGTCAAAAGCGTCGACAACTATTTTTATCGATATACATGGTGAATATAGACGAATTCTTAAAATTATTCATAAAGTGAATGTTTACATCAGAACGAATTATTTTTCTAATAGTTTCACTCTATGTGTACGACGACGTATATAGTAATAATATATTCTAACGTGAAATCTACCGAAGACCTTCAAATAATTAATAAATTTAATTTTATGAAAATATTTTGGACGGTGAATAAATATAAAATCAAGAGAGTGAAATTAGTGATACTTAAAAAACTGACATAATATTTTAGCCAAACGCAACGGGTTTCTGCGTTTAATTTTGCAAGATGTTTTCGATTATTTTACCAATACTGAATACAATCACCTATTACATTATTTAAAAAAAATATATATTTCTTTTACTTAATGGGCTTATGGCTATCGTGGCCCATCGTGTTTTTTTCTGTCTAGCTTCTCTGTTAATATAGACTCGCGTGACGCTTTTACCTATTATAGTTATCTCTCATAATGTCAATGCTGATATATAGAACCTATTTGGTTTTTTCTATCTCAAATTATAGTTTATATAGATATAGGTACGTACACTTATATAATAATGTATATATTATGACATGACGTTCGCCGTGAATGATTCTTCTCTATAGCTGGTATAATACAACACTGTACAAAAGACTTTCCTCTGTAATTATATATTGATCATTAACCAATGCGTTAACCGACGACATTACCGCTAATTGAACATTAAATAACCAAAATCCTAGGTCTGTAATAAAAAAAAAAATTTAAAAAACGGTACCAAACGTAATTTTATTTGTTGTTTATAAATAATACGTTAATATACCTATCAAGAATAATTATACCTATTACACGGTTGGGGTCATTAAACTATTAAATGTTTTATATAATATAATAAATATGTCTTAAGGTATTTGATCTTTACGACAGTAGTACCGATATGAAATATTTTAAACCTTGCAAAGATCGCCAAGTACGTTTGCAAGTATCGATCCGAAAAATAACAATTATAATATATAAATAGTATATACTGAAATAACAATAATATTATCTCCTGTACCAGATTTCAGCCAAATTATAATCGCACAAGTTCTACTATATACTCTTATATCTTTACGCCTACGCAATAGTCGTCACCAACGCCAAACACGTTATATTATTGTTATATTATTAATACGTATTGCGTTTTATTTTTGAAACTCACAAGTATATAATACAATATACATTAAACACGCACACACGTGGCGTATACTGCAACAATGCTTGTTATGAGAATTTTTTTTGTTTAACTCCAGCGGAGATAAATATATACAATATACATACATAATATATATTTATAGAAAGAGAGAGAGTGACTTCGTGTGATAATGCCTTATGTAGATTTGTGTTTCGCTACTGCTATATATAATGGAACGACCTGAACATAGGGGATCGAAATCATATACATTTTTATATGTATATTATGTAGTATGTTCATTGTACATACAACATAGTACATAATAATATGTATACAGACTACAGAGTCGTTCTGGGGAGGTCGGGAATGCGTATTATTATACTTTATATTTTTATAATACGCATAAGCTAAATATTATATTATATTAATTCTCAGATGTCGTGTTCAGCAAGTACCTACCTAAAAAAAATACGAATATTACAATATATGAATGTATRATAAACAATCTATTACACGATAAAGACCTATCTTTTCAGCCGGTGAAAATTGTCTGGTTGCTTGTAAATTTATAACCATCATAGTTGGTGGTAGATGTTGTTGTATTTTATTGGAGGTACAAAGTTAGTCGTGTGTCGATAAATTTCTATAGTGAATAAGTGATTATGCACAACTTAATTATGATCAATAGATTATATAATATGGCTACAGCGATAACACGTACAGGCACGAGTCGAGTAGATCACACGGCGTGTCAATGTCAAATTATTCTGTACGAACAATACTCTTAATCTTAAGATGACGCCACACCCTAATGTTGTCTYAGCCTTAAAACGTAAAATATAATATACCAAAAACGGTTTTGCGTGAAAGTAGTTCGAGCTTAGACAAAAAATTTTAATATTATAAAGAGGAGAACATTTAACGTTTTTGTTTGTGATAACGAAAAAATAAAAACGATGTTGTACAGTAAAATATGTTCTCTTTTTTATAGTGTGAAAATATGGTTGCTAATTCAGACTACATCTGAGTGGTTCTATATCCAGTGAAAAACAAATTTGGCTATATTGTAATTTGTTAGACGGAGACATGCGGGTGTGTCCTCTTAAGACTTAAGAATTAAGATATCCGATGTAATTATTCGAATACACAGGTGCACGAAGGTTTTGTCGGGACAGGTCCTAATTATAAGAGTTAACTAAAAGCAATATTGATATTTTAAATTACATTTATACTTTTTTAAATATACGATTACCTAACCTATACAAACACAGGCCATTATTATTGAAATTAAATATAATATAATTAATATTGCCCTGTTTTTGTTTGAAAACTATTATTCAATGATTTCATTGTTGTCAATGTCTATAGTATTTTGTTTGTTGACTTTTAATATGTAATAAAGAAAGTGTGTTAAAACGGCTTGGAAGCATTGAACTCATTAATCAGTTTTTTACATACTTCATGGGCCATAGCTGAATAGCTTATTGACTCTGATAATAATAATACTAATCATATTTTGGGAGCTAGATTTCCAAGCCCAGTCCGATTTCTACCTATTCCTTGGGTTAGGTCAAACATTTAAAAAGTCTTCTTCACCTCGTATAAAATGCATAGCAAGACTTCATTGGTTTTTATAAGTAAAAATATTATTTGCGTAACGTGTATATAGATCAGGTACTAAAAAATTTAATATTTTGATTTAATAATAATATTTATTTTATGCACCTGAATCACTTATACAGTTAAGGTTAGATCTCTCTCATACGGAAACATGACGTGTCAGAAGTATTTATTGTATTACATTATAATAATCGTTGTCCATTGATTTTTGATTCGTATCATACATATGGCATAATAATATTATATTATACGTATTACATAAATGTTCTGCAAAACAAATCGCGCTGTTTCAATATTCATGCATGTAGGTCGACGTTATTTTGGCGTA